CAGAGAGAGAGAGAGAGAGAGAGAGAGAGAGAGAGAGAGAGAGGCATTTATTAATAATTGACCTTGGTTCACACAGGGCTGACACATTGATTCCTGGATGGGGAAACGGTGTATCCCAACACCACTGAGGTGGTCTGTGAAAATGTCTCCTGTCCTGCCCACGCGGGCCACTCCTGATGCTGGCCTGGGCTGGTGAATGAACTACCAGCTCTAACGGAACCGACGGAAACTCTGTGGACCGCGTTTCAGAATGAAGCCATATGCGTGGCGGAACTGGCGGTTCATGGCTGCATAGAGCACGGGGTTGATGCAGCTGTTGAGCCAGGTGAGGTTGGCAGCCACCATGTGCACTACCCGCGGAGCGCGGCCCCTGGCGTCCAAAATGTTGAGCAGCATGAAGGGGATGTAACTGAGGACGAAGCAGAGGAACACCGCGAAGCACATGCGCGTCACCTTCCCGAAGTCCGATGGGGCATCCGGGGCTCTGCGCGCTCCTGCAGCTTCCCGGCCCCTGCAATGCGCTTCAGGAAGGCCTCTCTCTGCAATATGCTGGGCTGTCTTTTTAGTGTCCTGGACCCGCGCTTCTGAGGAGTCCCCTTCCAGGGTCTGCGTGGTCGAAGCACTGGCTGGCTCAGATGAAATCCCCTCGCTGGGCCCTCTTGAGGCAAGCCCGCTGTCTAGCTCCTGGAAGTGGCCAGGCATGGCCTCATTTGTCCCGGCCACCTGATGAGAGCGGATGTTGGCCCGCTGCAGCCCGTACTGGTCTAGCGCTCGAGCCGCACGCTTCACTTGGCGGTGGATGAGGCAGTAGAAGACACCCACACTGCTGAGTCCGAGCACAAAGAAGATGCCCATGAGGATGGTGGTGTAAGGCCGGCCTCGTATGCGGTCAAAGCTACAGGTGCAGACCACCGGCACCAAGACAAACACACGCCAGAGTGGGGCAAAGCTTGCCACCCCCACAATCCAGCTGCCCACCAGTGCCAGCACAATTCCTTTGGCACTGAAAACCCGGGGAAAGAGCTTAGGGTGGGCAATGAGGAGGTAGCGTCCTAGAGCAATGAGACAGAGGGTGAGAATGGAGACAGAATTGGAAGTAAAGAGGAGGAGCCCAAATATTCTGCAGAAGATGGCGCCTGTGCGCCAGTGGAGGTGGAGGTATGTGTCCACGGAGAAAGGCTGCAGGAGCGTGCAATAGAGTAGATCAGCCAGGGTGAGGTTGGCAATGAGCAGGTTGAAGCGGGTTCGGAGCTTAGGACGGATGACCAATGCCAGCAGGGTGAGCACATTGCCCACGGTGCCTGTCACAGCCACTACCACGCCCCAGATAACTGCAAAGTAACGATAGCCCAACACGGACTCATGGTAACAGGAGAAGTTGACATCCGAGGTGTTCCACATGATGGAGACTGAAGGGAAAGAAGAGGGAGATGGAGTGAGAACTCGCTCTTCATCTTGCCCTATTTGAACAGCTTTGTCCCCTCACACCTGTTCTGCACCTAGAACTCACTTTAATTCACAGCCCTGGAAAGCCACTCACACCATTTCATCTCAAATTTCCCAACTCACTCCTTAGGCTCTTCTGTCCTTTCCTTTCACGTTCTTAGTTTTCTTTCTTAAATTCTTTTTTTTTTTTTCTTTCAAGAAAGGGTTTCTTTGTGTAGCTTTGGAGCCTATCCTGGCACTCCCTCTGTAGACCAGGCTGGCCTCGAACTCACAGAGATCCTCCTGCCTCTGCCTCCCGGGTGCTGGAATTAAAGGCATGTGCCACCAACGCCTAGCTTTCTTTCTTAAATTCTTATCAAATGTCTCTTTTCTGTTGCCCCAAACCCTAGACCCCTTCATCAATATGTGTGGGATGCTCCCCATAACCCTGGCAACCTCCACCATAATTCCTTCCCGGTTCCTGAAGACAACCAGGAGTCCCTTGTCCTCTGCTCCTCCATCCATCCTTCTTTCTTTCTTTCTTTCTTTCTTTCTTTCTTTCTTTCTTTCTTTCTTTGTTCCTTAATAGTGTCTTGTTATGGAGCTCAGGCTGGCCTTAAGTCATGTGGACTCTCTGGCCTCAGACCTGCACCACTATTCTCCTGACCCCAAATGTTCTGATGGTAACTACCTGGAAAATGAGAGGACTAAGACTGTGCACCACACACACACATACACACACACACACACACACACACACACACAACATGCTCAGCTCACCTGAGGTTCCCAGTTTTCACACTTGTCTTCAGTAAACAAAAAGTCCAGTTCACCTAAAGAACAGGCCTTCCTTGGGGCAGTCAGGCTTTCTGGGGAGCAGCCAGGCTTCCAGCTGGGCATATAATGCCTCCTACCATGTTAGACTGAAAGAATAAGAAACTCCCTAGTTACCCAACGTTAGCCACTTCCTTCCTCACCTCCAGCCAGTCCACTAATTTTATCTTGGCTATTAAAGTCCGAGCTTCTCTGTTGAAATTCCCCTGCAGCTTACTCCAGAGTTGTCTCACTCTTCCCTTTATCTTTCCTGAAACCCAAGTCATGTTTCCTTCCGTACTGTGAGGGAGGACCTCCCTAAGGTCATTGCTGAGAACTGTTGAGCAGGGAGACAATGTCTGATCCTCCAGGCCACTTCTGTTTTTGTTTGTTTGAGAAAGGGTATGACTCAATATCCCAGTCTGCCCTAGAACTCACAGAAATTCCCCTGCCTCAGTCACTTGAGCACTGTGAGTATAAGCATGAGCTACCACACCTGACTGAGCCACTTCTGAAGAGATCAGACACCAAGGCCAGATTTTAGAAGCAGTGGTGGAATCGATGAGCTTAAAACCCACAGAGTTTATGTTTGTTTTGCAATAGCACTTCCTGTCTTCTCTTCAGAGTCTGGAGATGGTTTACATCAGAGGGTCCCAATGACACTTCAGCACATCTGAGAAGTGGAGTCAGATAAAAAGATATGGGTTTGGGACTGGCAAGATGGCTCAGCTTGTAAAGGTACTTGCCATGGCCTGAGTTGTATTCTAGAACCTACATGATAGAAATAGAGAATTAACGTCTGCAAATTGTTCTCCAACTTTCATACAAATTCTGTGGGACATGTGCATCTATAAACACACACATACATGCAATAAAAAGTTTTTTTGAGGCAGGGTCTCATTATGTAGCTTTGGCTGACCTAGAGCTCACTTTGTAGATCATGCTGGCTTTGAACTCATGGATATCCACTTGCCTTCCAAGAGCTGAAATTAAAGGTGTGAACAGGGGCTGGTGGTACAGGCTGATAGTTACTCAAGAAAATCACAGTTCTTAAGATTTGCCAGTGTTACATAGTGAGTTCTAGGTCAGCCTTGGTAATTTTAGTGAATGAGAATTTATCTCCAAATAAAAAGTAAATTTGGCTGGCTATGGTGGCACACATGTTTAATCCCAGCACTTGAGGGCCATAGACAAGTGGATCTCAATGAGTTCAAGGCCATCCTGATCTACAGAGCAAGTTCCAGGAAGCCACAGATGTTACATACAGAAACACTGTCTCAAAAACAACAACAACAACAACAAACAAATAACAAAAAGAAAGAAACAAAAAAGTAAATCTGGCTGAGGATATAAGTCAGTGGTAGAGTGCTTGTCCAGAATGTACAAGGTCCTGGGTTCAAGTCCCAGAACTGTATAAACCACGTATTCTGGTACACACCTGTAATCCCAGCACTCAGGAGGTGGAAAAATCAGAAATTCAAGGTCATCCTCAGCTACAAAGTAATTTTGAGGCTAGCCCATGCTATAGGAGGTCTTAAATTAATTGAGACACAGCACTAGAGAGGTAGAGGCAGGTGGATGTCTGAGTTCGAGGATAACCTTGTCTATGTAGTGAGTTTCAGGACAACCAGAGCTACATAAGGAAGCCCTGTCTCATAAAGCAATACCAAAAACAAAACCACAGATGCTTAAGCGATACCAGGCTACTGACTCCTGCTTGCAATCCCAGCTCTTAGGAGTCAGAAGCAGTGGGCATCCTGGCGTTTTGAGGTCAGGCTGGGAACAAAGTGTGACTCTGTTTCAAAAACAAACAAACGATGACTCCCTGTTTTGTGGTGGCTTGATGGGGATGCTAATCAATGAAACAGAAGATCTAGGGTGTGACTCAAAGACAGAATACCTAGGGTTCAGTTCCTAGCACCAAAAGGAAAGATAAGAACATGGGAGGAGGAACAAGCTTAGGGAGAGGAGTGAATGATATATTCCATTTTGAAACATCAAGTTTGGTGTTATATCAGTTTCCCAGCCTCTCCAACTCATTTTTTCTAGTCCCTCCTTGCCATCCATCCTCCCTACATCAGGCCCAGCCATTGTTCTCTGCACATTAGATTTTTTCTTTTCATATTTATTTATTATTGCATGGGAATCAAGATTCACTAAACTCAGTACAGGTTAAGTTTATTTGGGGAGAGTGCACTTACAAAAGAGGGAGGTGACCGCCGCAGGTTCCAGCTCCAAGGATCCTCCCAAGCTGTTCCCTGTGACCCAAAGGAAAGCAAGAGAGAGCTCTGGGGTTCGGGACCCCAGATCTAGTCTGCCCTCTAACAGGTCCTCACCTGTGACCACGCCCAAACGGGTGTGGTCAGTGCTACAGATATGGGCGGGGTGGATATCTCACTACAATTTATTTCTTCGTTTATTTATTTATTTACTTATTTTGTGTGTGTGTGTGGCAGGGGAGTGAGGAATGTACATGCCATAGTGCAGATGGACAACTTGAGGGAACTGGGTCCTAAGATCAAGGACTGAAGTCCTTAGTGTTGGTAGCAAGCCCCCTTACTCTCTGAGCCTCTCATTCCTCCATTCCTTTCTCTAAAGGACCACCTTTGCCCTCATACTTTAGAACCTCTCATCTCTGTCTTTAATATAATTTATTTCTGTGTATGGGTGTTTTGTCTGCATGTATGTCTGTGCACCATGTGTATGCCTCGTGCCCAGGGAGCCCAGAAGAGGATTTCAGGTATTCTGGGACTGGAGTTACTCAGTTACCATGTGGGAGCTAAGAATTGAACACAGTCAGTGCTCTTAACCAGTGAGGCATCTCTGTAGCCCTAGTCTCTGCTCTTTTTGAACTGTGAAGAAAAAAAAAAAAAAAAAAAAAAAAAAAAAAAAAAAAAAAAAAACTATTTGCTGGGGCCCCATTTTTTTCAGTTGAAAAACCCAGGGGGCCCTATTCCCCTCTCCTTCCTCTTTCAATCAACATCCTAGCCTTCCTCCTCGGTCTTCTGCAAGCCTGGGAAGTGGGGAAAGAAGTGAGAAAGACAACCAACCAGGGGGCCAGTGTAGCAGCCTCTGGGATTGCGTCTGGTTTTTGTTGTTTTCTTGTCCACCACCCAGTAGAGCTGGATGGCATGAGAGGATGGGGTGGAGAGGAACGCACAGTTCTTGGGGTTATGTGTTTGGGCTGGATTCTGCAGTTGACGAGGCACCCTCTGAGGCACCAAGAGTCCCAAGACACAGGCCACTTGGGATCTGATGAGAGAGTATTGTAGCAGATCTGTAGATGGCACAGCGTGGGTGGGCTTGGATACGGGATCTCGAAGGATCCTTAAAACTCAAGCATGTTTGCTAGTAGAAAACTGAGGTTCATACTGACAAAGACGGACACTAGGGTCAGTATATGAGGCCCATGCCTGCTTCCTCTGTCTGTTCTGCTGGTGTGAGTTCCCAATACAGACACAAAAGCCTGGGTTCTTTCCTTTGTCTGGGTTTAGGCCCCTTTCCCTAGAATTGCAAGAAACACTAACGGAACGAATACTCCGTTTTCTTCGTTTTTAGCGCCTCCTAGTGGAATTGTAGCGAATTCTCAACAGCCTCAGCTGCAGTCCCCGAGACGAACTCGAAAGGAATCCCTCTAGCCAAATTTACACAAGCCAGGTAGGGACTGAGACTCCCAGTTTCTCTCTGCTGGCTTTACACAACCTCTTCCCAATCTCGTTTTCCCGTTCCCCTCCTTGAGTGTCGGGCTTCCTCACCGTAAGACACACATTCCAAGCGAATTGCGCATCAAACAGCAAGCAAAGACAGTTTGAGTCTTGGGCGCGGAGGGCAGAACGAATCCAGACTTTATTGTCAAGGAGGAAAGAGGGAGGGCGAAGGTGGAGGGCAGGGGTTGCTACATTGTCAAGCAGAAAGAGTCCATGGGGAGGGGAGGGCCAGTGGGGGCCGGTCCCCATCCCGGGTCGGCGCTGGAAGGGCTGACCACACAGAAACCACAGAAGGGACAGGTTGGGGGTCACGCCCCCGCCCGAGTTGTGCAGTGGAGGTGTCACGGGAGGGGGCAGCCATGAGGTCTAGGGATTGGGACGGGGA